TTTGAGGAAAATTTTAACAATTTCTAACACTATTTTATCTCTCGAGCAATTTTTGAAAATAATTTAACACCTTTTGATTATATTTTATCTCTCAAACAGTTTTTAAACAATTTTAAATAAATTTCTAACGGTATTCTATCTCTCGAGCAATTTTTAACAACTTTTTTATCTCTTTAGCAAACTGCACAATATTTTAACTCTCGACAAATTTATAAAAATATTTTAACTCTCGATAAATTTTTAACAATGTTTTATATCTCGAGCAATGTTTGTACAATATTTTATCTCTCGAGCATTTTCTAATAGTATTTTATCGTTCGAGGAATTTTTAAACAAAGTTTTACCTCTCGAGAAATTTATAATATTAGGTATCTTTTGAATCAATTTTGAAAAACATTTTATTTCTCAACAAATTTTTCAATAGTATTTTATCCCTCGAGCAATTTTAAGGGTTTAACATTTTGTAATACTATTTTACCTCGAGCAATTTTTAAATATTTTTATCTCTCATTAAATTTCTAATAGTATTTTTATCCCTAGAGCAATTTTTGAACAATATTTTACCCCTCAAGAAATTTCTAATACTATTTTATACTTCGACCAATTTTTAACACCTTTTTCTACCTCTCAAGCCATTTTTGAACAATATTTGATCTCTCGTGCAATTTTTAAACAATGTTTTATCTCTCAAGAAATGTCTACTATTTTATCTCTGAAGTAACTTTTAACAACTATTTTAATTTCTCTTGCAATTTTTGACCAATATATTTTATACTTCAAATGGAAACATACGCTGAAAAAAGTACTAGATTTTGTTTCGAGTGTACTAGAGTACCAGATTCTCATAGAATGTACTAGAACAGTCATACTCAACCTTTTTTTTTTCGGGCCACATACGTGTGTTTCCTATGATACACGGGCCGTAATTATTTTTGGATGATTACCCTTTATTTAGGGTATCCAATTAAACTTAGATAGTGGGAATCTCTAATAAATAAAACACAAAAATATCTTATCGGGTTACTGCAAAAACAAGATAACGCACATTTTTTAGTTTCGAGAAAACGATGTTCAAAAGTTTAAAATTGAATAAAAACTCAGTAAAAGTTTCATTTAAAAAAAAGTAGATAATTTAAACATAATTACGAGTAGTCTTCATAAAGTGTAAATAGGTAGATTGGGATAATAATGGTGAATTTCAAGTGTAGCACCTAATTTACAAAGTTATAGTAGGTAAATCCTTTTTCTTGGCATTACTAATGTCTTACACTTCTTTGTAAGTATTTTTAGAGCTTTTTTCAAACTTTCAGGCATCTTCTACCGGTATGGCTTGAGTTTTTCAAGCAATGGGAAATCTGGTATTTCAGTGTTCGGTGATTTAAGAAGTGCTTCTGGTCGATTTAACGTGAAAACAATTTGAAGACGAGCATCAGCATCCCCGCTCGTTACAACTTGACCAATAACTCGTTACGACTTGGCCAATGAATCATTCACCACGGCGATTCGGGCATCACATATTATCATCTATTGGTTTTTGAAGGTTAGCTATATAGTGGAAAGAATGGGTGACATAATGACCTTGTCGATTTCGGACCAATCGAGAGAGGTCAGAGACGGCTCTAGGCAAAACAAAAAAATTGAGTGGGCAAAATGTTAAGGTATTTCAAACACATTCAACATGTCACCTATCTTGTTTGTCCATATGGTGTATGTATTAATATGGAGTTAGTTTCTGAACTATCTGTTCATCATGATACAGACTTCGTTCGCACTTGTCTTGTTTATTCCGTATATTATTTAAACTATTTTGGATGACCCAAACGTTTATTCAAAAAATGGTTAAAAAAATTATTTTATATTCAAAAAATTACATAAAACATGAGAGCGATAATTGTGTTTGCTCTGAAAATTACAATCCTAATACGCCATTTTGCTTAGGATTGGACTTGTCACGGGTGCCATTTGGTAAAGTACAATGTTTTTACATGCGTTTGGGGTATATTTCATGTTCAAAGTCTGGAAATTCGTTTTAAAACACATTTTTGCTAAACCGAATCAAATTAATGAACACTTGCCAAGCAATATGGCCGCTCGCAAACGACCCTCTGTGAGCAATCTATATAACTATATATGAGGGGCCTAGTATCAAAACCGGCAATCTCCAAATTTCAGTAAAATGTGTTGCATATAGCAGTTTTTTCGTCTCGTTGTGCACTATTGGAATATGTTTCTAGTTGGTAACAAAAACGGTTTTATCCCATATAAATTTAGTTTGGAAACTACTCATCAGAATCAAAACCGGCAATCTCCATATGACTTTCAGAATCAAAATCGGCAAACTCCATGCCACCCAATCAGAATCGCGACATGTGATCAGCTGATCACATGAAATAGCATTTAAATAGCAAATACCTATTATGTTTGTTGCTTTCGTTTAGTCCATTGTGGTTGTTCATCCTGTTAAATCTTGTGTTGATTGTTGAGTTTTGCCTGAGAACCTAATGGAAGTAAATGCATCTCCTGCTTAGCCGGGTAGGGCCCGTAAAAGAAAACGTGATCCAGTCACATGGAAATGTAATGTTCGCAAGAAGCTCAGGTATTTTCTTTCTTTTCATACTGATAATAGAGTTGTATTGTCTAGTCTTCTTTGCAGATATTCTGCAAAACAGTTGCCACAATATCCAACATGTGGTCAGAAAACGAAGGCTTTTCAGTGTTCTTCGTTAACCATGAAGGAAGTTAAAGACTTTCATGAATCATTTTATGCGACAAAAAACAAGCTATTGCAAGACTCGTTCATTCTAAAGCATTGCTCTGTTGATGTGTGCAAACGTCGCCGTCCGAAAAATGCAACACGAGAAGCCAAAGTTACCCATGTAAAATGTTTTGTGAGAAATTATTCCTCAAAAGCGAACGTTCCCGTATGCCAGTCGGCTTTTTTAAACATACTTGATATTACAAAACATCGTGTGAGCCACGTCATGAAGAGTTTTACTTCCAGTGGTCAAGCACCAATAGAAAAAAGAGGTGGAGATCGAAAAACTCCTAAATACGAAGACAAACAAGCGGCGGTTCAACAGTTCATCAATAGTTTCAAGTGCATTGAATCACACTATTGCCGCTCCAGTACAAAAAGACTATACCTTCCTTCAGATTTATCGATACAAAAAATGCACACCATGTATGATCAGCAGTGCAGTCCAGAAGAAAAAGTAAAATTGTCGTATTTTCGACACAAAGTATAATTTGAGTTTCACAACACCGCGAACTGACGTGTGTTCCACGTGCCTTGAATTGGCTGAAAGAATCAAACGCTGCGAAGATGAAGAAGAAAAGAAAACGCTTTCAACAGACAAAAAAATTCACAAACTGAGAGCAGATGCTTTTTTCAATCTACTTAAAGAAGCTAGAGATGATATGGTAACCATATCTTTCGATTGCGAGAAGAACTTAGTTCTACCAAAGGTGCCAGACCAAACAGCCTATTATTCAAGGCAGTTGTACCTCTACAACTTTACGATTGTAGAAGGTACATCAAAATCCAAGCTTAATCCAGAAAATGTTTTTTCGTACTACTGGACCGAAAATGAGTTCGCAAAAAGTTCCAATGAGGTTTCATCAGCTGTATATGATATGCTGAAAAAAATTGAGTTTGGCCCTCACCATACCACGGTTAGGCTTATGGCAGATGGATGTAGCGGCCAAAACAAGAATAGCACTCTTATAGGGATGTGCTCCAAATGGATAGCAAATAATGCCCCGTTAAATATTAAGAATTTGGAAGTCATCTTTCCCGTAGTGGGGCATTCCTTTCTTCCAGCAGACAGGGTGTTTGGTCACATCGAAAAGAACATTAAAAAACTGGAAGTAATAACCAAACCTGACACCTACATTGAAATCTTTTCAAAAATTGCGACTCCCATTCGTTTAGGTACAGACTGTACTGTTTACGACTGGAAAAAAAGCGTTAAAGAGGTACTGAAACCCCCAGGATCATGGCACTTCCAATTTAAAAATACGAAACGATTTTATCTGAAGAGATGCCAGTCTGGAAATATTTTAATAAGAGGTGAAGTCCATTATAGGAGCGACTTGCAAACCTTTAAGGGATTCACAAAAATAAGAAAACCAATTGGCATGATTAAACCAGATCTAATCAACGCCGGCCTGCCTCAGGTCAACAGTCTGAAGTTAAATGACGTGAACAAATTGCTGACCAAACACTTTGGCAAAAAGTGGAGAGATCTAGATGAACTGATGTCTTATAATGATATCGTTCCCAGCGAGGAAATGTTGGAGAGCTACACAGAAAATCCTGAAGAGTCGGAGGAAACCCAAGACAGAGAAGCTAATCAACTTGTTGATGATAAACCCTCTTGCGAATTCATTGCAGAGATTCCATCTGTATTGGTTTAATTTTTGATATTATTTTCTACTATGTTGTTACCTAAAGAAAAATACAGTTTTAGTTTAGCACTCACTTCGTCTTTCATTGCCTTTTTTCTCGGGTCTATTTATACATTTCGGTATCAAAACCGGCAATGTCCTACCTCTAGGAACAAAACCGGCAATCTCCATAGTTTTGTATTATATTTTGGAAAAACCTTGTCAGTTCTAAGTAACAGAACTATTAGTTATTGTTCAGAATCGAGTAAACTACCGTTTTCAATAATCTCCAACTATCTAGCATAAATAATAAGGCAAGTTATTCGTAAATATCTCTAAACTATGAAAGTGGGATATTGCCGGTTTTGATACTAGGCCCCTCAATGTATCATTGTCCCTGTTCAATGACAACAGGCCTACAGGGTTACCATATCTAAACAGTCGATTCCTACTGGAAGCATTTTGACAGGTCATTGGAATGCCTAATTATTTTACATCTTTAACTGAGATAATGATCTTTTATAGACTGTCATATGATTGAAAGCATTTTTATTTTTTGTTTTTTTGAGTTATTTTTCATTTAGTATTTTTTTAATTTTAATTTTATTTTGTAGAGTTGTACCGCACGAGGTTGAAAGTCGTTTACTAGAATTAATCACCAAGACCTTAAAATACAGAAGAGAAAATAATATAGTTAGAAACGACTTTTTAGATGTTTGCACCCGTCTGGAGACTGAATCTGGACGTTTTACGGAAATTGACATAGCAGCACACGGAGCCAGTTTTTTTATAGATGGATATGAAACAAGTTCAAGAGTAAGGAATAGTAGTATAGTAAAAAAAAATGTTCGGTTTAAGTTAATTGCTTCTCAAAGACATCTGTTTTACTGGGTTTACTTCTATTGGGATACGGAAGTTTCAAAATAAATATATTCTTAATAATAAATTTGGAAGTACAGAATTCGTTACTATAGTCTAGAGAAGAAAGGAGTGCAGTAATTTAATTTGCAGAACGTAGTACAGGTTCAAGAGGTAATCATTTTATTTATACCTCATCCTTCAATGCTTATTCGTAGTTAAAATAAAAATTTTAATCCATCTGATCGGTATAATAAAAGTTTTTGTTCTCATAGCCGTTTCATATGTATTTTAATTGATCCGAAATTTTGTATTAGTATATATTATAATTTTACAGTTATATAAGAATCGCAAGTGCATTTGAAAATATTGCAAGCACAAGTACGCGTAAACATCCTAGTATACATAAAGCATTATCTTTAGAAGAAAAAATTATCGTAGGTACTTCATGTATTTAATAATGTTCAAAAATACTTTGTTTTACCTTCCATGGATGAAACACCCACTAAATGTGAGACCTATACTGGAGTATCTAGCGGATAATGTATAACATGATTTAAAGATGATACAGTTATTGGAGAAGTCTTACATTCGAAAAAGCCCCAAAAAGAAACAAGACCTTCATTGAGACTTGGGTCAAAAATGTAATAAGACAAAATGGTGCAATATTTTTTATTTTCAAAATAAAATTCTTACACTTATAAAATTACACAAAATTACAAAAAAAATATCACATCTAATAAATTTTTGTTTCAAAAACATGACGAAACAGTCTTTTAATAGACAAAGACAAAATCAATGCGTGGAAACAAGATTATTTAAGGAAAATAGCGGACGCAAGGATTCAGCTCAAACAGATATTTTATGTAGATGAAACATGGGTTAATGCTGGAAATATAATAACAAAAAGTTGTCAAGATACCTTTATTAAAACTAAAAAATAAGCCTTTAAGGAACGGGTCTTCCATCTTGTCTTTATTAACAAATCCAACAGAAAAAGGAAATCGGTTGATAATAACCCATATAACTCGATGGATTTTTGTTAGCTCATTTAGTAATGTTTAAGTCAAAGAAAATTAAAGACTACCATGAAGAACGGATGTAGGAAAATTGGTTTTGGAACAGTATAGAAAAAATTCCTGCCAACTCCGTTATTGTTTTGGATAATGCATCCTATCACAGTCGATTAAAGGAGTCACTACCTACAAGAAGATGAAAAAAGAAGATATTTCAAAATATCTCCACTCTAAAAATATTCAGTCCTGCCAAATCCTCAAAAGCAGAATTACTCGTAAAAGCAAGGCAACATAAAAACAAAATTAAAAAATATATTATAGACGAGATGGCCCGAGAAAAAGAAATTAAAATTCTCCGATTGCCTCCGTATCGCCTAGAGTTAAATCCCATTGAACTGATCTGGTCACAATTAAAAGGTTATGTTTCTCAAAATAATAGGACATTTGGCAGTTTCAGATTTAAATGGAGAACATTTGAGAAAATGCATTAATCATGTTAAAAAGGTGGAAAATTAATTTTGGAAAGTAGATATAGAAACGAAAAACTTAATAGATTCTATAATAATGAACCTAACAGGCGCAATTCACATAGAACGGGCGCGTGGTGGTGGCGTGGGACTGCCGTGGTGCAGCTGTGGAGCGGCCGTGTTGCGCTCTATCCACACAGAAGGGGATCGGATATCCCATTTTTTTCATTCAGTTATAAAACATCGAAGTGACCTAAATGTGAAAAGGTTCTCAGATGACGACGAAGATAACCTGGATATGTTGAAGTTAATAAACAAGTACTTACATTTTCACTGAATTTATTTGCTATTTTATCCCATGCCTGGTCTTGTACAGTTCTGTTACAATTTTCTGATCGTTTATATTTGTATAAAGTTGCATACTGTTTCACTTCTTCGCAGAACTCTATATTAAATTAAAAATTGTCACACATTTTAAGCTAAAATCAAAAAATCCACTAAATTTGTATGACATGTGTCACTTGTGTAGGCTTCTCATGGCACCGAAGTGGCGTGGAAGTAGTGAGAGTAATTAGGCCAGATCCATGTCACCTCTAAATGAATTGCCTCATAGGCTAACGTGCAGGTGGCATATGCCCATACCACGCCAGTCCCACGCCGCCACAACCACGTGCCTGTTCTGTGTGAATTGCGCCTAAGATAATGATAATAATACCAGTGGTTATAGTGAAGACAGTGACTTTTAAAGATAGTTCTTTCATAATCTTTGATTTTAGGTACCAAAGTGTTACTTCTAATGCCAAGATATTAAAAAACGTTAAATTGTATTAACAAAATATAATGCTCCTTGTTATTTATTGGTTAAATTTAGTTCGTTTAATGTTAAAGTGCAACAATTTTTTCCGAAAGATAAGGTTTATTTTATTTTTTGTAAATAATATAATTTGTTTCATTCAAAATTTAATCTACGAAGTGCGTGTATACCATTTTATATGCCGTGACCTTATTTATATTATAAAAAATTATTTTGCAAAGTACACCTATGTACATTATACAGGGTGTTTCAGATTTAAACGGACACCTCTGCGATCGTTTTAATAGATTTTTTTATTGATTTGTCAATTATTTCCGGTTTATTTCTAATGTTGTTACATACATTTTTAATTTTTTTCAATTACTGTGCTTGGGTATTAAGTGATTTTTTGTAAATTCCACACCAAACATTTTATGTGTGTTTTTGTACATAAAATAGATACAAATTTAATTTTTTTTAAGTTCTCCATACACTTGTTTCTGGTACATAGGTATTGCTTATTCATTACTAACCAAAGGATGATTTAGAACCACTTCATTCATTCCTCTTTCCACATTCATCTTTAGGTAATTATATTTGGAAATTAAAATGAACTAAAACTTAAAGAAACTACAACTCTGATGAAATCAAATTTAAAAGTTCAAAAACTAGGTATTTTATAAACGAGCTGTAAACTTAATTTAGTCAACTGCCAATATGCGCCAAATTACACCATCACTCATTCCGTCATAAACATGATTATTGTAAAATTGTATAATACCAGTAGGCTTGTGTCAAATAATATCATTTATTTTATGTACATTATTTTGAGCTAAATTACTTTTGTTCATAAGTGTAAGTTTCTAATGGTATAAAAATAACTATTTCAGGATGCTTTTTCAATTTAGTAATGAAGAACATGCAGACATTATTTCTGTGTTCGGTTTTTGTAACGGAAACGGTAGAGTAAGAGAGTATCGCAGACGCTTTCCTAATCGCCGTTTACCAAATTCTAAAACATTTATACAGGTTTTCGAATTCAGTAAGCAACATGGAAAGTTGCGTACAGCGACTTGAACACGGAGACGACGTACCCCGCTTATCTTTTTGTAGATGGACTCTGGCCCACTGAAGGACAATATCGAAAATTTCCACGTGATGGGATTAATAATACTAGGAATGGACATATTTAGGTAACTTTAAATCCGCAGACTGTATCTCAAAAGCAATCCCAATATAGATTTTCTATAAATATATGCTATGGTATTTATAAAAATCATTTAATAGGCCCTCATGTTTTTGAAGGCAGATTAACAGCTGAAGTTTATTTAAATTTCCTTCGAGACATCTTGCCAAATTTGTAAGAAGGGATTAATACCTGAGGAATATGGTTTCAACATGATGGTGCTGGACCTCATTTTAAAATACTGGTCAGAGACCATTTAAATCATCGTTTCTCAAATATATGGATAGGTAGAGGCGAGTCCGTCAATTGGCCACCAAGATCTCTAGATCTAACACCATTGGATTATTTTTTATGGGGTTATCTTAAATCAGAAGTGTACAACGGCGAAATAAATACCCGAGCACGGTTATTGCAATAACATTAGAAATAAACCGGAAATAATTGAAAAATATACTTTAGTTTTAATTAATTATTTTTTTCTGTTAGTTTGATCTGTTAATTTATCAAATAAAGTGAGCTTGGTCCTGTGGTCCTGTGTAAATGTTCAATTTCTTATTGAAAAATGCAGTAGTTAAAAATATTTAAAGATGGTACCTAATTTGTGTAGAATTTAAAAAATACACAGTAAAATATTTGATTTCAATTTTGTAAATACTGATTTATAATATTGTAGTCGCCATTATAAAAATTTACTGTAAGAAAATCAAGATGGTGATTAAATATTATAACATTATTTTATTTATTGATCCACGTACTATTTAAATGTGTAGTAACATTTATTAAAATCCTATATACAGAGTGATATTCTAGCTAAGAAAAACAATATAAAAAAAAAAGAGTCTGATCCTGAAATTTTTTAAAATTAAATTATGGCTTTGAATAACCTAAGAAAGTGTATTTTTTGTACAAAATTTTATCAAAATATCTCAAGCCGTTCAAACAAAATGGCTGACTTTGGTTTTGGCAAAAAATGATAAAACACCCTTTATCTCAGAAATAAGTGAGATTAGAGGCTAAGTATGGGAGTGTTTTGAACTCTACCTCCCAATAAGCTGTGTCCGTTTAAATCTGAAACACCCTGTATACCCACTTTTACTGCACTCCTCTTTTATTCAGACTATATTAATATAAATACGAATTCTGTTAAAAAAAATTCTTCACTACATACAGTACCTACGACTTGTTTTAAGATATCTATATTTTTAATACTTTTGTTGTATTGCGTAACATAGTTTATCATTTATGTCCATTCTCATTGAATAGGTAATTTCTCTATATACGCATTTATATTTTATAACAAGCTCAATGTTTGAATTATAAATGTTGTGAAGATATGAGGTATCCTTAAATAATTGGGCCACAAATGGAGGTTTTAATAATAAAAATCAATAAATATATTAATACAGGTCTTATAGTCTTTATACAGGACTTCGTAGCCCTTAACTATACAACCCTGCCGAATCAGGATTTTTTTTAGGCGACTTGCTCCAAAAAACAGGAGCCTGGTGTATTTGTGCTTGTACTAATTTAAACCTATTTGCTTCCATGGAACTTTGTAGGAATTTATAATGTCACACATTACGGTACTGCGGCTTTTTTCCGGAGTAAGTTATAGATTGTTGATCATCTTATACACATTCGTGTGCTTGCCGTTTCCAAGTTATCCCCACAACGATCAAACTTCTAGTCTTCATGTGGAAATCATAGAAAACCGAAGAAAACAACAATTTTTATACCTTAGTTCAGGCTTCTTAGCCTTTATCTGCATAATGTTTTTACTCTTAATATCGAAACCTTGGAAGACTAAAAAGGAAACACATTATTTTCTCGATGAAAATATAGTATAAATATACAAGACTAGATCGCAATTTGACATGCATAAACATATCGACTTAACAAACTATAAAAAATACAAAATATTATAAAATACTTTATAACGACATAATTAAATAAGGTTTTATATACAGGATGATTTAGAAATAATGATGTAATTTAGATAATTTAAAAAAAATATTGAACTTAACTATGTACATTTTGTATTTGTTTTTTTAAAAAGATTTATTTAATTTAAATTACAGCTTTATTTATGGAGAACAAATTCTATAACTAATGATGAAATAATTGACATAAATAGTCAGCAGTTCCACGAGGTTACCGACTCAGGGTTATTAACTCTAGAACTAGTATATGAATATATGAAGCGTGACAATATTTAACATCAATTCTTTTGTATCATTGACTTTTTGATATCGAGGAATGTGTTTTAAGTCTAAAGTGCATTTGGATAATATTTTACCTTACTTCAGGATGTTAAGATTAACAAATAATTGTCTAATTTTAAGGTTATGAATTTTTTATTATTTGAACTAGCAGCCAATCCAAAAGCTCAACAAACCTTAAGAGAAGAACTTAACGAAAGCTTCGAGAAAAATGGAAATACATTTACATATGAAGCATTACATGACCTACCCTTTTTGGATGCATGTTTAAAAGGTAACCATAAGTTTTATTCGAATAAGTCAAAAAGCTGATATAAAACATAATCGAAAAGTGTTATTTTTCTATATACTTCAAGAGAATGGTCGTAAAAAAATATTTTTCAACCGATCAAATAGACCTTTAAATCAAAATTTTGGAGGAAATACATAAATTTTTGATATGTCACCTAAAAGTATTTGAAAACGATATGTTAAAAAAAATTGTTTTTCAGGCACCGGCAAATGTCAAAAAACAAGAAAATAAAGTGTTTTTTTAAGGTTATTTAAAAACGGTAGGTGCTATAAAAAAGTTTTTAATAAAAATTGTAAAGCATAAACTTTTACATAAAAATGATATTTGACATTTTTTGATATTATTAAAACTGACAGAGTTAGGGTGGTTAGAAATTAAGAGGAGATATATATATGATTTGGAAAAATCATAGCGAGCTGAAAATTCAATGATTTTGTAGTTTTCTTAAGTTATGACAATTTTAATTTAGAAATTTTCAATTGAAGTAAACTTATTAGCTTGACTGACATGAAAAATATGAGGAATGAACTAATAAAAATAAATAAAAACGACATCGCGACAGTTTGGTCTCCACTTGAAGTTCCATTAAATAAATAAAAATAAAAACAAATAAAAAAGAACTAAATAAAAATATAAAAAAAATTAAAAATTAAAATAAAAAAAATAAAGATAACAAAAAATTAATAAAAATAGGTAATTTAAAAAAATATATAAAAATAAGTAAATAAAAATAAATATATAAAGAAAATTAAACAAAAATAAATAAAAAGATAAAAGTAAAAGAAAATAAATAAAACTAAAAAAAGTAATAAAATTTAAATAAATATAAATAAAAAGAATTATAATTAAAAAAATAAATAAAAATAAATAAACAAATAAATATAAATAAAAATAATTAAAACTAAAAAAAAAAAAAATCAAAAATAAATAAATTAAAACAATAACAAGTAGTTAAAAAAATTAAATAAAAATAGTGAAATTAATAAAAATAAAAAATAAATAAATTTAAACAGAAATAAATGAAAAGATGATTGTAAAAGAAAATAAATAAAAATATATAAATAAAAATAAATAAACAAATAAAAATAATTAAACTAAAAACTAAAAACAATTAATAAATAAATAAAAATAATTAAACTATTAAACACAAATAAATGAAAAGATAAGTGTAAAATAAAATAAATAAAAGTAAATAAATAAAAATAATTTAAAAGAGTGAAAAAATAAAAATAATTACAAATAGATAAAAAAAATTAAATAAAAATAGGTAATTTTTAAAAAATAGAAATTAAATAAATAAAAATATAAATGTAAAAGAAAATATTTAAAAATAAATAAATAAGAATAAAATAAAAGTAAATAAAAACGAATAAAAATAAAAAATAAAAATAAATAAAAATGAAGCATAAAAAAATAAAAATAAAAAAATATTTATTTTTATTTATTTTAATTTTTTTTAGTTTATTTTTATTTTTTTAATTTTTTTTTAATTTATCTATTTTTGTTTATTAATTTTTTATTATCCTAATTTTTAGTTTTTTTTATTTTTATTTTTATTTTTTTTTTATATTTTTATTTATTTCTTTTTTATTGGTTTTTATTTTTATTTATTTATTGAAACTTCAAGTGGGGATTAAACTGTTCAGATGTCGTTTTTATTAGTTCACATATTTTTCATGTAAGTCAAGCTAATAAGTTTACTTCAAAATTTATTTTACCATATAAATTCGTATAATATATTGAAAATTTCTAAATTAAAATTGTTATAACTTAAAAAGACAAAATAAAAATAATTTTTTTAAAAGAAATTTATAATTTTCTGAGTAAATAATAAAAAGAAACTAGAAAATCATTGAATTTTCAGCTTGCTATGATTTTTCCAAATCATATATATCTTCTCTTAATTTCTAACCACCCTAACTCTGTCAATTTGAATAATATCAAAAAATGTCAAATATCATTTTTATGTAAAACTTTATGCTTTACAATTTTTATTAAGAACTTTTTTATAGCACCTACCGTTTTTAGATACCCCTAAAAAAATCACTTAATTTTCTTGTTTTTTGACATTTGCCGGTGCCAAAATTTTTTTACATATTGTTTTCAAATACTCTTAAGTGACTTATATCAAAAATTCCTGTATTTCCTCCAAAATTTTGATTTAAAGATCTATTTGATTAGACTATTATTCTTATTTTGTTTCAATTTTCTTGTAGAAAGCATGAGGAAAAACTCTCCGATGCATAATTTATCGAAAGTGTGCACTGAAGACTACACGTACACATCTACAGATCCAGATTTTAAAAATTTAACCGTGCAATTGAAAGTCGGAGACCGTATCGCTATACCGGTCATAGGACTGCAAATGGATTCCAAGTATTTTGACGAACCTGATAATTTCGTACCAGAGAGGTTTTTAAACAAAGACGATATACAGAGATATACTTATTTACCATTTGGAGAGGGTCCACGTATATGTTTAGGTAATATTTAAAAAAATTGAAAACAAAATTTTATTTTTCTATCATTGTTGTCTGGTAATTTTTCTTTCAAATTCAGCATATTTTTCTTGATCTAGTTAATTTTTATTCAGTCATGCAACCATATCGTGCCCCAAGGGAATGGTCTTTAATGGTGTTTTTTCACGACCGATGTTGTTAGTCCAAAGAGCCAGGCACAAAAAGTGGTTTGCTACTTTATTGGTTAGTAAATCGGCAAAACGGTAATCTTATCAAGCCTTTGGACGATTTTATGATGACCACATTGTTGATACTTAGCCCAACACTTGGATATATTGTAGTATTAACAATGATCAAATTCGTGGTATACCCAGGCTGAGTAGTGCTTGTCTGCTATCTCTATAGGTGAGCATGGTCAATATGTTTCTGGAACTATTGCTCACGGACCATTTTAAGTTTAGGTTTAAGGATCCAGTATACAATCCATATCCTGAGCTTTTAGAACCGTCGATGAAAATATGAATCGATTCTATACATTTCTGTATAATTTTGTCGGACTCATGAAAGACATGCGGAGTCGTGAAAAAAAAAAGCCCAGGCTTAGCCTGCTTACCAAGCCATGTTGGTGTTATTATTCCTCGTAGATTGTGCGACTCTAACGCGATTATAAGTGATCCATTAACTAATACAGTAAACCTGGAATATTCTTAATTCAACGCAGGTATCTTGAGTTGACGATGTTTTCGTTTTCTTTTAAATCTTCGCCACCCACGTAAGGGTTCTTTCCTGTTACAGAAAGGTAAGATAGACTGTATGGAGCACTGTTTTTCGGACAAACTTTCACTTGGGCTGTAGCTAATATGATATTATTGATTTCTGCTAATATTGTAAAACATGTTGTTGCATTCTGAACTTCTGATAAGACGTCAGGAACCAAATTAATTGAATTTTGATCAAAGGAATGTATTTGCTATTTATTTAAATGATTATAATTAAAAGTAAGCATTCGATTTGTTTGATTAAGAAAAGTTTTATTTTGATTTTGATTTATTTGATTTTGATTTGTTTGATTTTGATTTGTTTGATTTTGATTTGTTTGATTTTGATTTGTTTGATTTTGATTTGTTTGATTTTGATTTGTTTGATTTTGATTTGTTTGATTTTGATTTGTTTGATTTTGATTTGTTTGATTTTGATTTGTTTGATTTTGATTTGTTTGATTTTGATTTGTTTGATTTTGATTTGTTTGATTTTGATTTGTTTGATTTTGATTTGTTTGATTTTGATTTGTTTGATTTTGATTTGTTTGATTTTGATTTGTTTGATTTTGATTTGTTTGATTTGTTTGATTTTGATTTGTTTGATTTTGATTTGTTTGATTTTGATTTGTTTGATTTTGATTTGTTTTATTTTGATTTGTTTGATTTTGATTTGTTTGATTTTGATTTGTTTGATTTTGATTTGTTTGATTTTGATTTGTTTGATTTTGATTTGTTTGATTTTGATTTGTTTGATTTTGATTTGTTTGATTTTGATTTGTTTGATTTTGATTTGTTTGATTTGTTTGATTTTGATTTGTTTGATTTTGATTTGTTTGATTTTGATTTGTTTGATTTTGATTTGTTTGATTTTGATTTGTTTGATTTTGATTTGTTTGATTTTGATTTGTTTGATTTTGATTTGTTTGATTTTGATTTGTTTGATTTTGATTTGTTTGATTTTGATTGGTTTGATTTTGATTTGTTTGATTTTGATTTGTTTGATTTTGATTTGTTTGATTTTGATTTGTTTGATTTTGATTTGTTTGATTTTGATTTGTTTGATTTTGATTTGTTTGATTTTGATTTGTTTGATTTTGATTTGTTTGATTTTGATTTGTTTGATTTTGATTTGTTTGATTTTGATTTGTTTGATTTTGATTTGTTTGATTTTGATTTGTTTGATTTTGATTTGTTTGATTTGTTTGATTTGTTTGATTTTGATTTGTTTGATTTTGATTTGTTTGATTTTGATTTGTTTGGTTTTGATTTGTTTAATTTTGATTTGTTTGATTTTGATTTGTTTGATTTTGATTTATTTGATTTTGATTTGTTTGATTTTGATTTGTTTGATTTTGATTTGTTTGATTTTGATTTGTTTGATTTTGATTTGTTTGATTTTGATTTGTTTGATTTTGATTTGTTTGATTTTGATTTGTTTGATTTTGATTTGTTTGATTTTGATTTGTTTGATTTTGATTTGTTTGATTTTGATTTGTTTGATTTTGATTTGTTTGATTTTGATTTGTTTGATTTTGATTTGTTTGATTTTGATTTGTTTGATTTTGATTTGTTTGATTTTGATTTGTTTGATTTTGATTTGTTTGATTTTAATTTGTTTAAATTCGATTTGTTTGATTTTGATTTGTTTGATTTGTTTGATTTTGATTTGTTTGATTTGGATTTGTTTGATTTGGATTTGTTTGATTTGGATTTGTTTGATTTGGATTTGTTTGATTTGGATTTGTTTGATTTGGATTTGTTTGATTTGGATTTGTTTGATTTTGATTTGTTTGATTTGTTTGATTTTGATTTGTTTGATTTTGATTTGTTTGATTTTGATTTGTTTGATTTTGATTTGTTTGATTTTGATTTGTTTGATTTTGATTTGTTTGATTTTGATTTGTTTGATTTTGATTTGTTTGATTTTGATTTGTCTGATTTTGATTTGTTTGATTTTGATTTGTTTGATTTTGATTTGTTTGATTTTGATTTGTTTAATTTTGATTTGTTTGATTTTGATTTGTTTGATTTTGATTTGTTTGATATTGATTTGTTTGATTTTGATTTGTTTGATTTTGATTTGTTTGATTTTGATTTGTTTGATTTTGATCTGTTTGATTTTGATTTGTTTGATTTTGATTTGTTTGATTTTGATTTGTTTGATTTTGATCTGTTTGATTTTGATTTGTTTGATTTTGATTTGTTTGATTTTGATTTGTTTGATTTTGATTTGTTTGATTTTGATTTGTTTGATTTTGATTTGTTTGATTTTGATTTGTTTGATTTTGATTTGTTTGATTTTGATTTGTTTGATTTTGATTTGTTTGATTTTGATTTGTTTGATTTTGATTTGTTTGATTTTGATTTGTTTGATTTTGATTTGTTTGATTTTGATTTGTTTGATTTTGATTTGTTTGATTTTGATTTGTTTGATTTTGATTTGTTTGATTTTGATTTGTTTGATTTTGATTTGTTTGATTTTGATTTGTTTGATTTTGATTTGTTTGATTTTGATTTGTTTGATTTTGATTTGTTTGATTTTGATTTGTTTGATTTTGATTTGTTTGATTTTGATTTATTTGATTTTGATTTGTTTGATTTTGATTTGTTTGATTTTGATTTGTTTGATTTTGATTTGTTTGATTTTGATTTGTTTGATTTTGATTTGTTTGATTTTGATTTGTTTGATTTTGATTTGTTTGATTTTGATTTGTTTGATTTTGATTTGTTTGATTTTGATTTGTTTGATTTTGATTTGTTTGATTTTGATTTGTTTGATTTTAATTTGTTTGATTTTGATTTGTTTGATTTTGATTTGTTTGATTTTGATTTGTTTGATTTTGATTTGTTTGATTTTGATTTGTTTGATTTTGATTTGTTTGATTTGTTTGATTTTGATTTGTTTGATTTTGATTTGTTTGATTTTAATTTGTTTGATTTTGATTTGTTTGATTTTGATTTGTTTGATTTTGATTTGTTTGATTTTGATTTGTTTGATTTTGATTTGTTTGATTTTGATTTGTTTGATTTTGATTTGTTTGATTTTGATTTGTTTTGATTTTGATTTGTTTGATTTTGACTTGTTTGATTTTGATTTGTTTGATTTTGATTTGTTTGATTTTGATTTGTTTGATTTATTTGATTATCATTTGTTTGATTTTGATTTGATTTATTTTTATTTATTTGATTTTGGTTTGGTTGATTTTGATTGAAAGTTTGCACATTTAATTGATATTTTGATGATTTTTATAATTTATGAGTTGAGTTTTGTGATTATTGATTTGAAGTTTGTATATTATGTGAATTTTGTCTATTTTGATTGATCGGCGATAATTGTGATTATTATGATTATGATTCTGCACTAAGACACTATTTTGATAATTATCATTTTTTGAGATTAAATAAAATTACGTGTACAATGTAATAAAGTATTATGTCTTTCTTGACAGCTCACACATGCATTCAAGGAGAGACAACCTTTTGTGCAATAACGATTCAAACAATTAGGGAATAAATTTTAAATTTAAGCAAATGAGCTGCGATTATACAAAGATAATTTTAAAAATTCAGGACATGAAAATGTGGTCTATTTTTGAACAGAAGCACACTGTTTATAATAAAATTCCCCCGGTTTGATGATACATTGTGTGTAAAAATGATTTGTGGGTTTCTTATTTCTAAATGAGTTGTTATTTTGTACAGATTTTGATCTTGTCCAGTTAGAGCTAGCTGTGTTTTCTAAAGCAACACATTTATCTTTTAAAACGTCAAAAAGTTGAGTTATATTTAAAATTTTGCTTCGTAAAAAATCTAAATTTTCTTCTAATAAATAAACAAGTATTGAATTTAATAATCCTTCATAGAATCGATAAGCATTTCTAAAGATATTAGAAACCTTCGCATGTTTTGTTGAGTATATTTATCGATAGATGAAAGTAGTTGGTGAAAATAGGTATTAATGATTTGTTTTTGTTAATATAACGTTTATCCAATAATTCTAATGCAGTGTGAAGATTATTAAGGGTAATACACCAAGACCTTGATAATAGTCAACTATTTTTGTTGCGTTCAAATCTCAAGAATATTTTATTATTAGAACGTTCATCAATTGATTATCTACAATGCCAAAATTATGTAGACTCAAATTGTAAGATATTCGAGAAATTTAGCAAAAACAAAAATAGCAGAATATTAAACAAGGTCGTGTTATATTTGGGACGATTATTTCACTAGACCAAATATTGACTATATTGATATTTGGTCTAGGGAAATAGTCATTTGTAATTTGCATCAGAAAATTAAATAATCAAGCATAGTAGCTAGTCAAAGCACTACTGAAAGGTAGAGTTAAGGTCGTTTAGAAGATCTTAATAATTGGTATTGAATCGTCATAGATTTTTGTGATATCGATGTAAAATGAAGTTTTTCTTAACAATATTTAATTACTGGCATAAATTATTTATAATAATGATCTGAGTATGGAGCCTTGTGAAACTCTGCAGATGAAAGTTCTTTACATTAGTGTATAGTTGCTGACTCCTAATTCAAAATATCTGTCGCACAGAAAATCTCTAATATAAAAATTTAGAAGTGCTCCTTGAATGGCAGATGATCAAGTTTAAGAAGTTTTCTTCGTTTAGAATCAAAATAATGTTATATTTAAAAAAATATATTTTACATTACTGCGTAATTTACAATTGTCTAATCTTCTTCGCAATTTGATTTTTAATAATTATATTTTTTGTAGGTCAACGATTTGCGGTAACTCAAATCAAGACCGGAATTGCTTACTTGATCAAAAATTTTCAATGCACAGTTAATTCTAAAACACAATTGCCTTTAAAGTTCGATCCATATTTTTTTATGAATGATGTTGTTGGAGGAATATGGATAGATTTCAAAAAAATCATGTAAACAACTTACTTTTATGTAAAATATTAATATTGAGTGATTAAGTATATTACTTTTGTTCTATAACTTCTATTTACACCGAAAATGAGTACGATATTTGTCAAATGCAAGAATTGTATTATTTCATTTGGAACAAGTATTTTTTTAGATATTTATAAAGTCTCTTATCTTTCCTTTATAAAAATGTAGCATATGTAGTTTATTTTTATAGAAATTAGTACGATTTAAAATAATTGCTACATTTCTTTAAAAAAATTGATATAATAATTCAACTTGGAAAACCATAGCTTTCAAAAACCCTAGATACAGCATCAAAAACAAAATTTTGACCTCTTACATGCTGGGCGCCATGATAACTAAATTTTAAGGTGTCACTACTGACAAGTGATGCCATGCAGTCGCGGCTTGCTTTGTTTCATATTTTGAAAGTATGAATATTTCAAAAACCTTGTCCGTGAAGAATCTTCCACGCATTTGCACAACTTAAAGCATTCGCTTCTTCATCGCGCATGCTTCTAAATGCGCTTATTCGTATATATATTCTTCCGCACTTGGTTCGTGAATAACTATAGTTACACCAATCAAAAATACATTTTCCCCAAGAAGGTTTTCAGAATCAAATAATAATGTACAGGGTAGGGTGTCCCATTAATAATGGCACATAGAGTAACTAAAGATTTTTTGATTAAAAATAATACGATTAAACAAAACATGCTTAGGTAAAATGTTACTCGTTTCCGATTCAGTGTGTTATAATTAAAAATTGAAAAAATTATTAATGGCTAGGTTACTTTTTTTATTACTTATTATAATTTTATTAAATTTGGCCAACGTTTTTAGTATCATAAGATACTTCTATTGGCAAAAAAACAATAAAATAAAATCTGCTAGTGGCGTGTGGAATGGATAAATAACACCTTCATCGCTTCTAAATTTTACGTCACTCTCTAAAATAAATTTTTCTGTTGTTTTTTTAAATACATCATATACTCTTATTGGGAACTTATAAAGTGATTGGGTTTCGAGATCTTTGCACTCAAAGGTGGATACCCTTTATTTTAATATATTTTTAAATTAAATTTTTTTATTAGTTTTTAAGGGTACTTGATTTAACTAAAACATAATGATCCAAAAAAAATTGAAAGGGATGAAGATGTTACTTGTCCGTACCGTACACCACTGGCTAAATAATTGATTTTTTGCTGACAGGTATCTTATGACTATAGTCAAATTATACGAATAATCAAAAAATTATAACCAATAATAATATTTTAATTTTTAACTATCATTTTACCCTCGATTTTACTCAAGCATGTTTTGTTTAATGATCTTATTTTTAATCAGAGAATTTCCAGTTGTAGTGTGTTCCATTCTTAATGGAACACCCTGTATATATTAAGTAATTACCTCATAATGCCATCTTACAGCGAGAAGCAAGAACTAGTAAAAATCTCATTGTGACAGAAACATACTTTTCTAATATGAAAACTGAGAACTGTCTAGTATTACAAACACTCGACAAAAACGATGATGTTTGATGCTATGCTATTGTAAGTAATTTTTATGCTATAAACCTAAGAATAATAGAGTGTTTAGAATATGTTTATGTATTGAGTTTTTGCGATGAAACTCTCACAAAATACAGAAACAACTAACTTTTATTTTTTCATTTTTCAATTTAAATTTTATGGCTTAGGTGTTTACACCTAATATGCCAATCTCAGTTTGTGTTTAATTTTAATTCATGTGTTTTGTTTAAACTAAAGTAATTAGTCGGACATCATTGTGAACGCAAAATACAACCAATGAATATAACGACAACGTCGTTGTAGGCATTGAAAATAAAAAAAGGTCGTAGGTACCCACAATTTATACCCCTAAGTTCAGGAATTGTTCTATCAGCTGTGGATGAGATTCTCTGCTTGAGATTATTAAAAAAAATGGATATATTATTTTTCAGTAATAAGAGGAATTCATTATAGTGGGTGCGACTAGCATTTCAAAAACCAGAAATTAAAAACCAATCCTGATTTAACAAAACTTGACAAGCCAAAAAGATTTGTCAAAGTTTTGTTCCTAATTTCAACCCATAAATTATTCATCTCCCTCATTCACAAATAATAAAATGCATATTGTCAGTGTTCACCTGTTACAAAAGACAAAAACTGAAAATCAGTGTCGACAAAACATAATCCACTTAACATGGTGACCAGCATGAATAAATTTTATTGTATTGACAGCACATTCGTAACGGTATCTACACTTTCTGAGAGCTATGCGGAAAACAGAAAAAAAAATAAAATAGGTATAAAAAAATAATTAGTTTAGTCACTGCTCAAAGTGCTGGCCATTTATTTTAACAAATTTATTAAGTCTCTTTTTAATAAATAATAATAAAAATACATTCTTGGACCATTGTTATTTATCATAATAATGTTAGAATAAATAAGGTTATTTACATTTTTATTCTGTATAAAATAAAGGATTTATTGTAGCTATTGATTTTTTATTTAAGTCAGTTTGACATTATAAAATAAAGCTTTCAAGTAACATAAAACAGCTTTTTATTTATTTCACTATGCAACTAAACCACTGTTAAAAATAACAGGTTAATTTGAATAAATACTGCTGGTTATTAAAAGTTAAAACAAACCTTAGAAGATGGAGCACGAAGAAACACAAAAAAAGTCTTGTACCATTGTATTACAGATAAGCATTACCCTAAATAGTGCCGGTGTTTAGGATTTAGTAGATAGAAGACGCATCTTCAGATTAAGAAAAAAAAATAGACAGGATGATCTGAAAGGACAGCAAGCAGTTGTAACTAGCTTAGCGAAAAAGTTATCACACATCAAATTGCCTGTAAAAATTCGGCAGATATGAGGACTAGAATTGTAGCTTTCTTTGGAAAGTCAACTAAGACCAATTTACATTTTCTTGAACGACGATCCTATGTCTGCGTTTATCAAAATTAAGGAATTATTCAACATATAGCCAACCTTGAGAATTTAGCTCATAATTTCAAGATTTATGACGAAGAAGTCAGCAATAAAATGTTAATTAACAAAATACTAATTACTCTACCAGAGGAATACAAACAATTTCATTAAGCATAAGAGTGTTATCAAAAAAGATTCTTAACGACCTGTATGAGAAGAAAAAAGAATCGGTAACAGAGAAAATCAAGGGCACAACATTAAATTACAAAATTACACAGCTGAATCGAAGCAGAATGTTACTACCGCAAAAAAGAGGACACCACCAAAATTAATGTTGGTTCAAAAAGAAAAAAGAAACCAAGAGTCCCAAACCAGGTACCAACAACTTTGCTCTAATGACTAGTAGTCCTGCACCCAACGTGCACATTTGTGATATTTTCTTAGGGCTGAATTTATTAATAAATTGTGATATGATACGTGTCCAATCAATTCACGGAAGCTTGAAGTTCAGACTGGGGTACTTAGGTAGATATAGGCATTACAAGTGGTACGTGCCTCTGAAAATTCTAACTTATTTTCTTAACATTTTCGTTATGCTTATTAGACGATAAGTGCCCACCTATAAGAAATAATAAACCCTCCACCAATTTCGGTGGGCCAATTTTCTCTCCAACGTTTTAAAGTGATGCGTGAGTGAGCAGGCGCGAGTCTTATTTTTAAAAAGTGTATGCTTATATCAAAGCAAGATAAGAATTGAAGGGGTAAGTGGATGAAAGGGTTATGTGACATTTTTAATTCTATTTTTTTGTTGATGAAGAATTAATTAAGTTTATCTGTGCCTTACTTTGGTCTGGTCTTGTGCGTCTAATTAGTTCATAATCACTCTTACCAACTCACAAAAACGCATTTTAAAGACATTTTTCACTAAAAATGCCAATGAATCTAATTAAATAGTTAATTGCTTAAAAATTATTTTTTTATAACATAGCCCCTTCATCCACTTACCCCTTCAATTATACCTTATCACTAAACTAACATCTATTAAAAATATTGGGCCATTTTTCGTGTACAACGAAAATAATGAATTTAAAAAATATGAATGCTTTAAGCATAAAAACAAATAACTTAACAAAGTTTTTGCCAAGAAGGATGTAAATATTCAATCGGGGGTTTTTAAGGTCACTTATAATGTAATATTCAATGTGCTGGTTCATAAATGCTAAATTTGGCCACCTTGTATTAAAATATCGGTTTACTTCTTTTATGAAATGTTTCATTAAAAATATAATATTTACATTGTTTTTTATGATATTCAAAAATACAATTTAGACATTAAAAGTGGTTAGCAAAGATTTTTAAATTCTGTGAGCGAATTCATTCGCAGCGTCCGTCCTTAAAACCTGGTCAAAAATACATTGTCAAGTTATTGCGTTTATATAAAACCATTATTTATTTTATTTGCTTAGTTATTTTCGTTAGACACTAAAAACGGACCAATATTCTTATTGGACACTAAGTGTCCTATGATTTAACGTTTACGTTATCTGTAACGTACATGTTAGGCCGAGTTTTAACAGTAACGAGGTAAGTTTGTGTGATGAAAAACTATTTCCAACACTTTACTGTTATTTTCCTCCTGTTATGTTCTAATTTAACAGTTTTCCATCATACGAACTTGCCTCGTTATTTTTAAATTTCGGCCTAACATGTACGTTACGGATAAGGTAAACGTTCAATCATAGGACCCAATTTCAGTGAAAAGCTATCACGTTTATGTTACTTTGGCAGAAGCATCACATTAAATTGTTGGAGAGAAAAAATGTCCCAGCCAAATTGGTAGAGAAGATGATTTTTCTGAAACATATAACAAAGGCTTGAAAATAAACCAAAAATCAGCCATAAGAAAATAAGTCATCTGCATGCCCACTCGTTGAAGAGAAAAAATGGAACAACGAGATTGGCGGAGGGTTTAATATTTCTTGTAGATGGGCACTTACCGTCGAATAAGCATAATGAAAATGTTTAATTAAGAAAAAAAGTAAAGTTTTTGAGAGGCACGTACTCATTGTAATGCCTATAGCAACTTAAGCACCCCAGTCTAACCGTCGTACTTTTGTGAATTTGTTAAACATGTATCATAGTACAATTAAATAATAAATTCAGCTACAAGAAAATAATTCACAAACCTTCACGTTGGCTCTATGTTATTTTTTGTTCGAAATGCGACCATAAAGATTTACTGTCGCTAATGCAACAAGAAGATGTTTCAGTGCATATAATGACCCTTTCAATCCTAACTTCTCAAGATAGTGTGGGATTTGGAGTTACTTCAAGTTAGGTAGGTTCTATTTGATATGCTCCTAGGTATAGTATCTTTGGATTCTAGAGTGCTACACATTAAGTCAAAATGTAAATGGAGGTTTTATCCTCCTCCTCACAGAATCAGCACTCACTATCTTCTACTACTCTTAGTTAACTAAGGTGCATTGTAGTCGACAATGCCCAGTAAGGATCCCTGTTACAATACGTAGCTTTTTTTTGCTCAGACAGATGCAGGTTTCCGATATTTTCAGGTTATATTCACCAAGAGGTACCTTAGCCTGCCTAAATCGCAAAAAATTGTTCCAATTATCGGTTTTTCTACTGGCCAATTATATTTTAATCTCTCCTAAAGTTTTGTTACTGCTGATACCGCAGTACGGCTCGGGTCCCACAAAGTGTGTTTGAACCCCTTTCCTTGCGGGACAATCTCGTTACCCTGTACCGCGTTATGTCCCTGAACCCAAGTAAGAGTAACTGTATTTTTCTCGCCTGGCTCGTTCAATTTTGCTAAGCATCTCCAGACCATTTTTGAGCTGATTATGTAAGAGCTCAGTGCTTTGGTTGCTGCTTGGCTATCGGACATAATAATCTCTTGTCTATAATAGTGTCTCTCGATGTTAAGCTAAATACCCTTCTCGATGGGGTGAATTACCGTCTGGAAGATGCTTGGGTATTTTTCCAAACTTTCAAAGTGCCTGGTTATAGGCCAATACACTCCTATTCCCGTTTCTTCTACAATTGTGGAACCATCCGTTTACCACTGAATAGCATATATTTTGGTTGTAAAAACTATGGGTTCTTAGCTCTATTCTTTCTTGCAGCCCAGCTCTGTGGTTTCAAAGTTTTTCACTTCTTTCTTATTCAATCTTGGGGCATATCCCAAGTATCTTTGGACCTGAAACGAATAGACTTTCGTGTGATTATTCCGTTCCTGATCATTCTATATA